TGAGCATACAATTACCGTCCTAAAAAGAAATGGATCAAAACTTATCACTTATTTTTCGATAAGCTTGAAAATAATTATTTAAACGTTTATTTAAATATAAAAATATATACCAGTTGGACCCCAAGCATCGTCATTTGTTGCTTCCCGAACTTTGGCCTCTGTTTCCGTGTAGTTCATCACTACATTGGTCCTATAAAATCAAATTTTATTCCCGTTAACATAAATGCAACCAATAGTGTGCATATTTTGATGTATCGATAGTTCTTTATACACAGTATGAAACAATATATGTGACAATATTATTAATTTCAAAATAAAATTACTTTCACTGTGTTCACATGGATCATATGAACACCTGTTAATTGCGCAATATTTTTACGCCTCTGCTTGCACACAATACTTTTCTGTTTTCAATTTCCAGTAGCATATGGTTTCATCGCATGGAATTCTGATATTCACATCATGCAAAAGAAGCGTTTCTACAAAATTTGATTGCTTGAAATGATGTTGAGAATGAAATTGAACGAAAAAAGGAAATTTAATTGAACAAAAATATATTACGTTTGTCAAAGATTAATTTTATGCTTTGCATTTATATAGGTACAGATTATACGGTAATAGCAATCGTGACTTTTACAGTTGAATTTTAATCCTCGATCGTTATCAAAGTATGTACGTGGGTAGGCATTCAAAATTACATTTTACTGATATTTATCTTCTTTTCAACATTTCTGTGATAAGAAACGATAGTGCAACACAGATTTCTCGTGTTCACTTCAAAATCAAAAGTTCTATTGTAAGTGAAAACGATTTTATTATGTTTTCGTTAAATACGTCACAGAAACAAAAAAATATTGAATTAACATAAGCATTCGATTACATAATACTTTTGTTCATAGTTAAAAATATCTCAACGAAGCTCCTTTAAACAGATTTTGGTTCGTTCTAGTCTATCACTTTTTTTTTATTACATTATAAAAATTTACTACATATTGTTAAATATTTAATAAAACACTTCAAGAAAAGAAATAAAATACATAAACTAACGAATATTTAAAGACATATATGTTCATCGTGGCTACATGTCATTTAAATAACAACCATGCTTGGAATCGGGAATAAAGATTTACGCATACACAGTTACAAGTTGCATTTGTATTCAGAAATAGCTGTTAGAGATAATGGTGTCCTTCCGCTTCTCGATTTCCACAGATCGTAAAGAATCTCACGTTTCTGATCATAGTAATACAAGTTAACTTATAGTTACAATATCGAACAAATAACAAACGCGAATGGCAATTACGTATTAAGAACTACACTTGGATGTTACATGGAAAGCAACAGAAATAAAAGAATTGAAGAATAACATAAAATAAAAAGGTATATAGATACTACCGATGTTTGAGAACCGCTATTCAATTCAACACTATGACCGCGTACATACGATGCATAGGGACCGGTGTATAACGATACTTGCACACTTCATAGTTACGTAAAAAAAAAAAAAGAACCAAACAAACCAAAATAGAAATAGTAAAATGTTCGTGTTGATGTCGATTTTTTTGTACTTTCAATTTTTACGAATATTTTACACGCGCATTGAGTACAACTGCATGAAAGCGAGACTTAACAGCTTTGAAGATTACATACGAATATTTAACGTTCTTTCAAATGAAATAAAGTGGAAAAAATTGTATACCGAAATAGCAATCTAAATTACTTTTTCTCTCATTTTGTTGCGAAATGCTTTGTTACCGCTACTTGGTAACATTTTGCACATGTTCGAAAGTAATTACGCACAATGACAATAAAATAGTATTAACGCATATACTGCACACTTCCATAACTGATGTACTCTTGCCATTAGGTTAAATAACTTTTTAACAAAGAAAACTGGTATTTTATCCATATAATTCATTTCCTTCCTCTTAAATATGCAACACTTTCTCAACTAGTAGTCTTACTTATCATGGAGAGCAACCTGTTCGTGAGCTTGTTAGGGACAGCTTATCTGCTAAGTCCAGTCTCTGCTGTGGTAAAACATTTCTTTTTTCTTCTGTTCATTCTCATTAAAGGAAAAAAAGGACACCAATAACGTTGCAGACTAACTCGTTTGAAAAATAAAAACAAATAAAAAACAAGAGAAAACTACTTGGTTTAAATAGCGGTTATAAATATATACCGCATTCGTGTAAGAATATCATTAACAAATAACAAAATAAAAGTACGTATAATAGAAAAATAAATTCATTATGTAACATCACCAATACGATTTATCGTGGTACTTTTTATAAAAATGGTTTGTTTTGCATCTGAAGATATTTTATTGTTTACATTAACAATATGTAATTATCAAATAAAAAAATATATTAAACTTTATAAAAGATAATACAATAATAGTAATAGTAAAAAAAAAAGCAAATCCAGTAGACAGACAATACCGAATTATTACAACACAATGCACAGAATGCATTTATCATTTTATAGTCGCGTTATTTTTCTCGTTACTATTAATTACTATTCGATCTAAATATTTTTACTTGATTCAATAATGTAACAATTTTTTACAATCTACCTGAACAATATATCAATGTAACCCTTCTGAAGCATCCTAAGAACAACTTGTTCGAAAATAAGTAAAGGAAATCTTTCATTTGTTTTTCATGGATACTCGACAAATGGGAAAAGAAAGGTTCATATATGAAATTACACATGCGTGAATATGTTAAACAATGTAGGTAAAGTGACTATCAATGAATGTAGAATTAGGGGTGTACGAAAAATCGTGCAGCGTATCGAAACAAGTAGAGTGGAATGCATCGAAAAAAGTAAAAGCAAGGTTAGATCGCGTGTAACTGACTTAATTCTACTTACGCCTTATCCATTAACTCCCGCACTTTCCACATGTTCATCATTGTGTTTTACACTCCTCACTGGATATAATACGCGTTTTCCGCGTGAAAACTACGGAACTTACACTGATAAATGTTCACCAGCTGTTTTTGGGAGCATTTGATATCGCGACGGCGACGGCGAACGAACGTCACCAGGCGGTGGCCATGTTATCCCTTCCACGTTCCATTGAACTAATAATCGTCACAGGTGTTTTACGTGTGCCAACCTCACTTTTTGTTATCGCGAGTCCTACGTAACACTTTTATTATCTTTCCACAATATTGCATAGCTGTCGATAACCAAAAAAATCTCGAACAGTTTAAAAGATCGAAAAGAATTAGTTTCCATTCGAATTGATGAATCACAAAATTCGTTTGCCTTGACAAATATAACGCACCAGTTAAAATTATTCAATTAATTGTCGGCTATTAATTGTTTAATGCTTATATTTGGTTATTAAAAGTGGGATTGTCATTCTTTATATTGTAGCATGTTTACGTTGTGTTTAAATAAAACATTTACTTGAATCATTGCCAACTGATTATTTAAAAACTAACGCTAATTGATTGGTAATACATACAAGATGCACAATATATCCAGTTTTAAAAACATATCTTAAATTCAACAAAAATTTAGTTTTTAAACTCACGAGATATTTAAAAACTATGATCTCCGTGAAAATAAGCTCTACATTTTGTAATTCCATCTGTACTGATAGAACTTACGAATTAAATGAAGTGTCAACATTTTTATAATGTCGACATAATAATTAAAGAATATTTTCAAACTCATACAAGATCTTTTTGAAATTTTTATTTTTAAGTAATATATAATATGAATTTGTTTTAAAATAATTATATAGTAATTTTATATGTTAATTTATCACGAAAGATTGACAGAAAATGGTAGATATAAAATATAAATATAAATGCAACATATCAATTGTATTTTTAAATTTATTATACGTTTTTAGTGCTTAATTTCTGAAATTTTCAGTATCTTTAGAAATACCAAAATTGAAACAAGAAATAATATAACTATTTTCGTCGTATAATACAAAATAATATTTATATTACTATTTTATTACAAATGAATTATTCATTTTCCGTAATTATTAATTTTTACATAAATGAAAATTTGTTAACTTTTTTAGAAATATATAATACAAGTTTTCTTTTTTGGATATACCACTAGGTGGTGTTAGGGAACAAATCTAGTTTTGTCTTACTACACGCCGTTATTACTTTGTGGTAGATATCGTGTGGTTGGATTGGTTGAATGGATATATAAGAAAAATACAAATGAATGAAAATACTATTGTATTGTAATTTATCTTCTGCATTGATCAATTACTTTGGTTATTTTATAAGAAATGATTTGTATATAGAAAGTATAACGTAGTAGTTGTAGCAAGAAAGAAGTTGTTTAATTAGAATGAAAATAATCGCCATTAACGAAACAGTAACAAGCGTGCGTATAAAATTCAAAGATGTCAGAACGTGTTTAAATTGTCGTTATCGTGAAATTGACAATGGAAGATTTTAACGATGGTGTGGATGGTAAATTGGCTTCTAGAATGCGAAAAGTCAATCCAGAACAATTTCACACTCTCGTCAAAATGCATTTATCTTTCGAATTGGACCTCAATACTGAAGAGTAAGTTGGTAATCAATGTTATTAAAATTTGAATTTAAAAATTAATTTTAAATATA